AACCATTGGGCGGTTTTATTATTATTATTAAATTGGTAATAAAACATACAAATCTAGACTAAAATCATATCTTGTCACTAGACAATTTAAATGTTTATCTTTTTGTCAGAGCTAACTTGATGTACTTGGCTGTATGATAGGACACATAGTAATCAGTTCCTGCGAATAGAAATATTTTTTTAAAGGGAGCAGCATATCTGATATGTACAACAAGAGGATCAAGGTATTGGGATCTCAAGTCCAAATACAAAGAACATTCCAGAAGAAAATGATACAAATCTTCCATCTTTTTGCAGCTGTATGGGCACTGTCTACTGGAGTTTGGTAAGCCATCATAGCACCTTTAACTTCCATTAGGTGCAAAGTGTTTAATCTGCACTTAGGGAAAAGGGACTTAAGGTCGTATGGATAAGCAAAGGCTAAATAAAGTGGCAATTTACTAGGATAAATGGTGAAATTCTTATACAAAGTAACCACATGACAATTATCCACTAATGCAGCATTTTTCTGGATATCAATATAAGCTAAACATCTTGCAATATCTATTCAGGCCCCATAATAGCCTTTTGCAATCAAATAGTTTGTTGAAAATCCTAAACTGGATATAAGATTTTTGTAGCTCATGAGTCTGGACCCATTTCTTCATATGCCATTACAACTAAAGGAGAAACCAGCTGAAAAATTATCTTGAGCCAATAATAAATATCAGTTTGGGCATTCACATCCATCACTCTGTGTTTAAATATTGCTGTGGGCTGGTGTCCAACTGAACATAGATATTGTGTTGAAAAGCCAAGATGTGAGATAATTTGAAGAATCTGATTAATCCATGAAGAGTCTTGAAGTGTGCCCATTAACCTATTGTTGCTGCTACCAACACTATCTTTTTTTTTTTGCATAGCATTTAAACCTACGTTTTGTGATTTCCTCATATACTTACTGCATTTTTTAAAAAAGATACGTTTATTCAAGTGCTTGACTGTAGCCTTATTACATGGAACAGTATCTGACCACAAGAGATCTTTCCTGCTGATTGAGAGTCTCTGAGAGGTACAAGGTCCAACAGCAGATGATGCTATTGTCAGTTTCCTGTAACTCCAGATGTAATATGACAGCACACACACACACACACACACAACATTGCAATCAATAGTCTTGAGGACAGGAGTGCTGGAGCTCTTTCCTATTCCCTTGTTTCTTTGACAAATCTGAAATAGTATGAAGCAATTCAAAAACTGAGTGCACAGCTCTATCTGTAATTCTCTATCTCATTATGAAAGTGAGAAGGCATTTTCTTGATTATTCTTCAAGGGAGGATGTAAATTGTATAGCAGTTCTAGAGAGGCTTTTTTAAAAAAAAAACCTTAGATACCAGGGGAATATATATATATTGTGAAATTTTGCCATGATCTATTAATAACCCTGGCATGCTCATTTCCCACAAAATAGTTGGACATGACAGTTCATGCTCATGTTGCCTAGTATCTCTATTTCTACAAGAGTTAGAATTTTCTTTGTGTTAGATGAAAATTGGAAAAATATACTAGCTACTGGTGGAAATGGCCCTGACCAAAAGGGCAATATGGCAACCCTAACAAGTGAGGTTCTGCAGCTAATGGTGACCCTGTGTCCTGGAAGATTGTCCTGGCTACAATCCAGGTAAAATTTGGCCAATATGGCAACCCTGACAAGCCAGGTTCTGCAGTCTGACTGCCCAATGATAATTTAAAGCTCCTTCCAAAACTTAGCTGTAGAACAAATGCATTGGTGTATCTAAGGACTGACTTGATTATATGGCAAACGTCAGATGGAGGTATGTAGTTCATGGAATGATGAGATATTTTTCTGGCTTACCTTGCCTATAGGAACAACTTTTGCATTCTAAAATAAAATAGGAACAACTTTTGCATTCTGAATTCCTGGAGCCTTCTCACATTGCAGATTTATAGCATTATTATTCCACTTTAATTGCTATGGTTTCATCCTATGTAATCCTGGGGTTTGTATTTCAGTGAGGTACTATAGCTCTCTAGGTGAAAATTCTAAATGTCTCCCCATAAACTATCAATCCCAGGAATCTCTAGGATGGAACCACGGAAGTTAAAGTAGGATAATAGCACAATAATTCTGTAATTTGAATGGTCACATCAGAACTGTATACTTGGCTCTTAGCTTATTAGATACCAACTAAGAATGTGTTAAAATAGCTTTTCCAGCAAGATGTGTTGTCTTGTGCATCTGCCAAAACTCTCCAGCCAGCATTACATTGGCCATACTGTCTGGGGATGGTGGGAGTTGGAGTCCACCAGCACATCTGCAATGTGTGAGATTGGGGAAGATTTGTCTAAAGTTACACCAGACAACTGAGGATATGTGAACCTGGTCTCATAGTTTGCTTGGACAAAAACTTAGTTTACACAAACATCAGAGAAAATAGTACATCATGTTTTGATATTCCACTACGCATTCCAAAGAGGAAATTGATAGGATGAATGTTTCCAATTTCCATACCTTCTCCCTTCCTTACCAAAACATGATTTTGTACTTGTTTTCTTGTTAATCCAGCAAGATGCTCATGGTTCCAACCAGCCAATTGTATCCTACTATGGTAGTCCTACTCAGAAAAAATGCTATCGTCAAGTGTAAAGGCAAGTTCAGTATGGAGGTTCCTGTTTCTTTAGTTTTAAAATGGGAAAAAACATTGAGAGTTCAAAGGGTGGCTTCAGAAGTCATATATTTTCCATTGCTAATGTGAAACAAGAACATAGAGGGTTGTACAAATGTTGCTATGGTCAGCATGCATTTTGGGATGCATGCGGTCAGGATGAAGCTGAGGAACTCCTGGTAAGAGGTAAGAGTCCCAGTTAAAAGTTTTATTCCAAGACTCAGAAGAATATATATCCCAAGGCTGAAGCTGGGCTAACTTTTATGTTTATTGTGTAAATAGGGCCACACCAATGTTACACTGTCCAAAGTCACACTGTCTCTAGCTTGGTTACATGTTCACTGTGAATGTGCAGATTACATCTCAAGCCACAGGAAATTGATAACACAGCATCATCCCGATGCTGTGCTCTCTCAATCTGTAGGAACAATCTCCTGTAATCAGACATCAAATGACATAGAAAGGCTTATATCATAAAAGAGCTTGTATCTGTTCTTATAACAGCTTACTCTTGTCTAAAGATCATCAGCTTAGGCCTTTGTCAAAATGTCATTTCTATGTGGCAAGAAGGGAGAGACTGTTTTGGCCCCCTGGCATCAGAATGCCTCCCCCATAGGGATACAGCTGGCTCCAATATGACAATTCCCTACCACCACCACCGCCACCACCAATATCAGGTCAACACACTAAAAAAAGAAACAGGCAATTAAAATTCACACTGTTGTTTAGTCTCCTGTATTTTTAATTTTTTATTTTGCTGCCTTTTAATTGTTTAGTTTCTATGAAGTTTCTTCTTTCAGTATTTTTGTAGATGATGTGATGAGTTTTATTCATGTCTATCACACATCCCTCTATTGCCTAAGATAATCAAGAGTGTTCTAGAAATAATTGTAAACAAAATTTGCAAACTTGACTCATATTTAGCCGGTGGTCTACTCATACCGTGAGATTCTTTTCATATGTACTATTTTTAACCTAATTGTCATCTAACCAATGTTTGTGCATCTGTTTTCCTGCCCAAATGCATTACCTTGCATTTACTCCTGTTGAAATCCATTTTGTTTGTTCTGGCCCAGATCTCCAACCTGCTATGATCATCTTGAATTTGGACTCTGTTTTCTGAGGCATTAGCTGCCTCTCCCAGTTTGGTTTCATCTGAGATCTGATGCACCTGCTCTCTTTTCTTTCAACCAAGTCATTCATAAAGGTGATTCTGTTTTTTTTACCATCTTTGCCTGATGAAGAACCCAGTGAGTTCTGAAAACAAATATATTTCTTTTGCCTTCTGGTCGTCCTAATAAAGGTGACACTAATATATATTTTGTATTTTGGATTTTTGTTAATGGTCAGCTCAGCTATGCCTGCATTTTTGATGAGAAGCTGGGAATCCTGAGGATTTTCATATAAAACACAAGTTCCCCAGGCTATGCCCATAGCACCACTTGGTTTTCTTGCATATAGTATAGTATTATAAAAAAAAGGAACAGAACAGAACAGAACAACAACAACAACAGGAACACCATGAACCCAGTGATGGGTAAAAAAAAAAAAATAAGGACAAATAAGCATTTCAAATTGTGCATGTTCTGAGCTGCTCTGAACAGCTCCCTGCATCCAAATGATCACATCTCTTTCAAATCTTAAAAGGAAAGTCTACAGATAACTACCAGATGGCTCCAGCACTGTTATTATATATTAAAAGATTTTATATGCTGCCTTTAAGGATGAAAACCCTCCCCAAATGGCTTTCAAAAATTACAAACAACAGCAAAACTTTCAACACAATAAAATATTTATAAGTGCAGGAGCTAAAAGACAACTGAAACCACAACCTAGAAAATATTAAGACTAACAAAGAAATCTAGTTAAAATGACCCCAAACTATCCGACATCTGGTATGTGTGAAGAAAAGTCAGGAGGCATTCCCAAATGCAGGAAGATTTTCATCTGATTAAATGCCTGAAAGACAAGATCTGGGGGAAAGGGCCTAAAGATGTTGGCTGGACTATCTTTCCCATCAGCGCCAACCAGCATGGTCAATGGTTGGGGAGCTGGGGGTTGT